CCTCCCGCTTTCTTCCTTGCTTCTGGAGAGCCATGCATTGCCCCCCACTCCCACCCTGCCTGCAGATCACCAAGGTGAAGTATGTGGACAAGATCCACATTGGGAACTATGAAATCGATGCCTGGTACTTCTCACCGTTCCCTGAAGACTATGGGAAACAGCCCAAGCTCTGGCTCTGCGAGTACTGCCTCAAATACATGAAATATGAGAAGAGCTACCGCTTCCACTTGGTGAGGCTGGGCTGGGCAGGGCTGATCTGGGCCGGGCCTGGTGAGAGAGGTTGGCATCGAGACTGAGGACAACTGAGCCAGTAGCACCAGGGCAGAGAGACATGTCCAGAGTAGTCAAGTACTAGCAAGAGCTGCCCAAGGGTCAAGGTACCTGGGTCCAGGCCTGGTTTGCCATTGCTGGCAGGGTGACCTTGGCCAACTTGCTGCCCCTCTCCAGACCTCAGTGTCCTCTTCTAATGAATGGGGACAATAATCTCTGCCCTTCCCGCTCCTCAGGTCCCTTGCCCTTTACCACATGTTTAACCAAGGCCAGTCCAGTGCCCAGCTGTTCAGGGCAATAGAGGAGGCAAACATAGCCCTTGAGCACTAGGACCTTAAGATGTAGATAGGTAGGAAGAGTTGGTATATGGAGGCTGCTGGGAAAGGGGCTCTCTCACTAGCACAGTGGGGTGTCTGCTAAAGCATGGAATCCGAGGTGAATGTATGCAGTTTAGGAAATCCGGTGTCGTGGATGATGTGCTCTAGGGCCAGATCGACATGGACTGGAAACCATTTAGCTGTGTGATGTTTGAGAAAGTTACTTAGCCTCTCAGGACCTTGGTTTCTTCATCTGTAAAATAGGACCCATCTGCTGAGGTCATTTGGAAGATTACTTGATGTAGGTGAAGTGTTGAGCTTAGAGTCTACAGATGGAGAAATAGGCAGAGGCTTGCTCCAAGCCACGCAGAGGTGGGCTGCGGGGGCACCTGGCAGATAACGTGGGGGTCTCAAACCCATGTGCACCCCATCCCTCCCCCCAGGGCCAGTGTCAGTGGCGGCAGCCCCCGGGGAAGGAGATCTACCGCAAGAGCAACATCTCTGTGTACGAGGTAGACGGCAAGGACCATAAGGTGAGCTGGTGGCCAAGGGGCTTTGGGGAAGTGGGGGAAGCACTGGGCACCTCCTGGGTGATCCTCACCCTCACCGGAGGGTAGAGGCCAGCCTTAGGGTGGGCCTCCACAAGGAAGAGGCCTGTGAGGTCTTGCTTAGCCTGGCACTTGGTCTGTGGTTGGCGCATAGTAAACACATGGCCTGTGGTGCCAGCCTGGGGCCAGGTTTCCTTTCTTTCCTAAGGACTTTTCTTCTGATGGGAGTAGTTCAGACTTGGGTAGTTCTGGAAGCTGGACTGGAGATTATCTTGCCTGAGGCTGCTCTTTGAAGAGCTTTCTCTTTCTGTCTGAATGAAAGGTGTTTGTTTTTGCCTGGGAGGGAACTGCTTTGAGTGAGATTTCCTGCCTGCGACTCTGTGGCTAATGAAGGCTGGGTTCCTTGTTCCTGCAGAATGACTTCAGTGGGGCAGGGTGGGGGCCTTTGTGGCCTGCTTTGCCATTGTTGAGAATCTGGCCTTTGCCAGGTCAGCCTGGGAAGGTCTCACCAAGTGTCCCAGTTTCCCGAGGACAGGCACTGTAGGATAAGATGAACAGGGCAGGCCTTGGAGTGGCTCCTGGCCTCACGCAGCCCTGTCACTTCCTAATTGGCCTTGGACACGTAACTTCACGTCGTTGGTCCCTGTTTCCTCATCCATGTGACAGGCGTCATAATATTGACCTAATCAGTTGTTAGTGGAATAAATGAGACAGCAAATGTCAAGTACTTGGCATAGCGCCTTGTACCTAGTAGGTGCTTAGGAAACATGGGCCTTTGTTTTTCTTGGTGACCTGTTGGGGCACAGGTACCTTTGTACCTGGGGAATACCCTCTCTGAGCCCGGCCCTTGCCCACTGCTCTGCTTTCCTGAGCATGGACAGTGGGAGGGGCTGAAAGGCTCCAGCTGGAGAGGTGGGAGTTCTTGCCAACTGGAGGCCTCAGGTAAGCACCCTCCCAGAGCTTCAGTTTCCTTCCAAGTAAAGTGGGACTAGCAATGCTAGGCTCGCACAGTTGCTGGGCCAAATGAGAGAATGGTTATGGAAGGGTGTTACAGACTAGGAGCCCCATAATCTGTGCTGTAAAGCTACCCTCAAGGGCGGTTGTACCTCCTGGTGCTGGCCTGGGGGTGGTCAATGGGGCTGCAGCAGAGGTGTGTGGCCACGTGGGCAGACAGAGCTCAGGCTTTGGAGTCGAGCTGATGCTTCTCCATTAACATACATTTACCAAGCTCCCAGATTCGTGCTTAGCCTTGTGTTAGGTGCGAACAGCTGTGAACAAGACAGAACCCGAACACCAGTGAGCACTCCTGCCCTGGCCCTGAGCCATTCAGTCGTGGCACCTTGTACAGGCCTCTTGTCTCCACTGAGCCTCACTTTCCTAATCTGAAATATGTATTTAGTGCTCAGAAGTGGTAGCCATGATTAGTGCAATTCTGCCAGTAGCTCCTTGATCAGCTCTGATTTTCAGTTTCCCTCCCTGTCCATCAGAAATGGACTCTTAAGACTCCTTCCTGTTCCAAACACTGCTATTCTGGTGAGGAGCCCACTTCCCACCTGCCTGGCACTTGCAGGGCAGAACAGCAGCCTGTGCCTGGCTGGCTGGGGGAGTTGTGCTTTCTCCCTGAGCCTACTTCCACCTCCATACCCCACAGATTTACTGTCAGAACCTGTGTCTGCTGGCCAAGCTTTTCCTGGACCACAAGACGTTGTACTTCGACGTGGAGCCCTTTGTCTTTTACATCCTGACTGAGGTGGATAGGCAAGGGGCCCACATCGTCGGCTACTTCTCTAAGGTGCTGGACCAGGGAGCCCTGGTGGGGGGAGGGGAAAGGATATAAACCGGAGTAGGGGCCAAGCCTCCTCAGAGGTCCTGAACACCCTCTCCCTGCAGGAGAAGGAGTCTCCAGATGGAAACAACGTGGCATGCATCCTGACACTGCCCCCCTACCAGCGCCGTGGCTACGGAAAGTTTCTGATTGCTTTCAGTGAGTGGCTCCTGGCTTGTCTGGGAAGGGGGCAACTGTGGTGGGGGGTACGGGTGCCAGGGTGGGCCGGATCTTCAGACCCTCCTATCACTGCCAGGTTATGAGCTATCCAAGCTGGAGAGCACAGTTGGCTCCCCGGAGAAGCCTCTGTCTGATCTGGGCAAACTCAGCTACCGCAGCTATTGGTCATGGGTCCTGCTGGAGATCCTGCGAGACTTCCGGGGCACTCTGTCCATCAAGGACCTTAGGTGAGGGCCCTGGTCCCCACCCGTGTTTAAGGCAGGCTGATCATCAGGGACCTTGTGAGAGAGGCCTCCTGCAGCCCTCAGGGGGAGGGTTCTCCTAAGAGTGGCCACCATTCTGTCTCCTTGTCCCCTTTTGCTGTCACAGCCAGACCCCCCCAAGGGAACAATCTTCAGCTCTGTTCTAATCCCTTTCTCCAGCCAGATGACCAGTATCACTCAGAATGACATCATTAGTACCCTGCAGTCCCTCAACATGGTCAAGTACTGGAAGGGCCAGCACGTGATCTGTGTCACACCCAAGCTGGTAGAGGAACACCTCAAAAGTGCCCAGTATAAGAAACCACCCATCACAGGTGGGTGGGGGGCTGCTCTGTGTGTGTGTGTGTGTGTGTGTGCCCCCCCCCCCCCCCCGCGTGCACACTGGGGGGTAGGCATAAGGAGTGCTGGAAGCCAAGGCCTCCTTTTTGCTGTCACATGATCCCAAACCAGTCAGACCAGCTCCCTGGACAGAAGCCTGGGGCAGGCTACTCATTCCCGGGCTTCCCTGCCCCCTCCCCAGGACTGTCTGCTCTTTTGTTCTCACCCGGAGGAGGTGAAACCTGGCCTGGGCCCAGAGTGGAGCAGCCGGGTGTGAGTGGGCCTGGCACAGGCCCAGCCCTGCCTCATGCCTCTTCTCCCCACAGTGGACTCTGTCTGCCTCAAGTGGGCACCCCCCAAGCACAAGCAAGTCAAACTCTCCAAGAAATGAGCGGCCTGTGCCCCTGCCACTGGACCCGTGCCTCCTTGCCCCCTAGCCTGTAAATATGTACAGACCTGTTTCATCATTTTTTTAATAAAGTAAATTCCGCTGGTGGCTCTGGACTTTGGAGGTGGGAGGGAGAGGTCAAAGAGCTGACATTCCTCATTTCACTTCACACACAGCCAGTTATATTCAAGACATTTTATTCCTTCTTGCTCCTTTTATCCTTTTATTCCCCATCCCAGATCAAGCCCCAGCCTGGTTCCAGTGGGGGCTCAGTCCTCCAGAATCCAGGAGTCAGGGCTGGATGGGGCAACATTGGGGCCTTTCCTGTCCTTGAAAACAAGCTGCCCAAAGGCAGCCCAAGCCCAGAGGACAGGAAGAGGGCAAGGCCAGGTGGGGCACTGGAGCCAGCCCTTCAGCAGCAGTGAGCTGGGCAGCTGCCCAGTCTTCTGGAAACAGGCCGAATCCAGGGCTCATTTTCATAGCTAAGAGTAACCTTGGAAGCTCCACAGGAGCCCATCCTATAGGCTTGCAGGCAGCAGGTGGAGCCCAGTCTTCTGGAAACAGGCCGAATCCAGGGCTCATTTTCATAGCTAAGAGTAACCTTGGGAGCTCCACAGGAGCCCATCCTATAGGCTTGCAGGCAGCAGGTGGAGGTGCCAGAGACTCTTAACAGTACCCCAGGCAGTAGAACTCCTGACTGGGGGTTGTAATTCCAAAGAGCAAACCCAGAAGAATGGGCTCAAAGGCCAGGGTGGTGCCCTGGTCTCCCCCAGAGTCCTGGGAGGAAGGAGTGGCTCATGCCAGGCCCCAGGCCCACAGGGTATCAGGGAGGAGCCGGGTGTCTTCCTGGGAATAGGTGTATGTCCTTGGGTGTGATGTGTCAGTCCTGGAAGCAGACTCAGCTCCTGGTGAGTAGCTCAGTGCTCATGCCATGGGCAGAAGAGGCTCAGGGTCAGGCCCAGTGGCAGGAGAAGGCTGAGCCCCAGCAAGCCCTGGGCTTGGGCAGAGTTGAAGGTCAGATAGCCACTACAGAGATTGCCATCAGGCTGGGACTCTTGGATATGGGGCACCACACGAGGCTGGAGTTCTGCCACATGGAAGTGGATCCAGGAGGCATAGCTGGAGGTCAGAGTGTATACACCAGGCCTGTTGGGAGCTCCACAGGCATCGCCCCAGCTCACAATGCCCGCCAGGTACCAGAGGCCCCCTACAGGGCAGGAGAGTGGGCCCCCAGAGTCACCCTGAGAAGAAAACATACAACAGCTGTCAGGACCAGGCCCCAGGCCTCCAGTCATCTGTGCCAGCCCTCATCTCCCAAGAGGCACTTGTCTCATGTGTCCCTTGGGTCCTGTGGTTACCTGGCAGGCATCCTTGCCCCCCTTCACAAATCCAGCACACACCATGTCCTGCTGGATAAAGTGGGGCTCCTCAGGCTTGGCATTGATGTTGTACAGGCAGTTACATGTCTCACGACTGATCAGTGGCACCTCAAGTTGCTGCAGTGGTCTAGGGGTCAGGAGGCTAACTGTGGGGGCAAAAGATGCTTACCCAGGGCCTGTACTCTGAGTCAGGCTCCCCACCACGCCTCGAGGCATCCAGCACCTCCCTCACCTGAAGGGGCCACATAGCCCCATCCAGTGACAGTACAATGGAGGCCGTTGGGGAAGGAGGCGTTGGCTGCAGGGAGACAGATGGGCCGGATGTGGCGGGAGAAGGTGATGGGGATATTGAGGCGGAGGAGCGCAATGTCGCCCTGGGAGCCCTCCTCACGGTAGCTGGGGTGGGAGATGACCTGTGCCACAGTGCGGACCTCAGTGTTGGCGGAGTAGGAGTCCAGCTGGTCGGCCCCCAGCTTTACCTCGTAGTCTTCCTTGCGGTGCTCCCTGCAGGCAGCAGAAGGGCAAAGGCTGGGACCCAGGGGATCTTTTCTGGTTCCCTGATCCCTGTTGCCTTGTGGCATCCAACCTGATTCCAATCCCAGACAGCACCTTTTAGGTCTCAAGCTGCACCCTAGTTTTATTGGGGTCTCTGACTCCTCACTTTCACTCCTGACTGATCCTTTCAGACTTTACTGATACTCTTAGACCCAATCTTAGACCCAACTTCTGACTGGGATCCACCCATGAACTTTGACCTCCAGCCCACTTTTGACCCCTCCTCCCCCGCACCGAGCTGGTACCTGGGGAAGCAGTGAGCAGCCGACAGCACCCACTGCTCAGACACAAGAGAGCCACCACACACGTGGATGCCTTCGTAGGTGATGCTGACCTGCCAGGGCCACTGACCAGGGGCTGCACTGCTGCCACCTGTGATGCGTGCTTGGGGGATCACACCGCAGAGGGCTGCCCAGGGAGGAAGGAAAGGGGTCAGACCTTTCTGGGGCCCCACAACACATCCTTAACCCTGCCACTCCTCACGTGTCCCAGGACATCTGGTTTAGAGCTCAGGAAGTGGGTCCACTCCCTTGGTCCCCGTGGCATGGCTCTCCAGGCGTGGGCAGTGCTGCCCCTAACTGTCTGCTACACATTACCTAGTGCAGGTCTCATGGCAGCCTCTTTCCTCTCAAGACTTCCTGCCTTCCACCCAATCCACTCCTTACAAACCTGAAGATCTTTACAAACCACAAACCTGACCAGGTCACACCCCTGCTGAAACCCTTCCATGGTTCCACACTGCCCTTAAGATAGACTCCAGACCTGCCGTGGCACTACTGTCTACTCCAGCTATCCCTCTGGACACTGCCTGTCTTGTACACAGGCCACATGCTTGTTCACCTCCAGACTTCTGTTTATCCAGGCCACTCTGCCTGGATAGAAAACCTTTGCCCACCCTCACTCTGCTTGGCAAACTCTTTGCCTATGGAGACTGCCCCCCCATAGCCCGTCTGGACCCGTCTGGACCCCGACGGCCGAGGAGGCATTGACTCTGAGCTCCCAGGGTTCCGGGGCTTCCCCCTAATCCCCGGTCCCCCACCCCCCGCCACTGCCCAATCTCACAATTATTCTGGCATTCACAGCTGTGTCTGCTTCCACCGCACCAACTTGGGTGTTCCCTAAGGGCAGATACCCATGTCCTCAGTGCCCAGCACAGGGCTGAATGAACCGATGCAGCTGTGGGCACGTTGTACAAATGAACAGAAGAACTGGGCTGCCTTTTTTTTTTTTTTTTTTTTAAAAGATGACCGGTAAGGGGATCTTAACCCTTGACTTGGTGTTCTCAGCACCACGCTCACCCAGTGAGCAACCGGCCATCCCTATATGGGATCCGAACCCGTGGCCTTGGTGTTATCAGCACCGCACTCTTCCGAGTGAGCCACAGGCCGGCCCCAGAACTGGGCTACCTTGATGGGAACGTCTGGTTTCCAGTACAGCCCCAGTCCCACCCCCACCAAGGCCGCTTTTTGGAGTGGAGCCCAACTGCCCTTCACAAAGCCACCTTCCTAGGAGCAGAGAAAACTGCCAGCCAGACTCCTCCTTTCCCTCATAATCACAATAGCTACTATTTAGTGAGTGCCAGGCCCTGAAGGGGATTTCTCTTCCCATATTCCCTGAGTCCTCACTGCAGTCCCAGGAGATAAGACATAATCAACTTCATTTTAGAGGAAACTGAGGCTTAGAGGAGAGGGGACTTCACACACAGCCTGTAAGTGGCAAACCCGTCTGACTCAGAGCCAGGTTGTTGCCTTCAGAAAAAGGAGACCTTTGGTATGTTTCCCTCTAAACCACCTTGAAGGCCCCTACCTTGGGAGTCTGAAGTGGGTTTAAATCCCAGCTCCAACATTTACTGGCCGTGTGCCCTTGGGCAAGCCACCACTCTGCACCGCAGTTTCCTTATCTATAAAGTGATGCTGTGATCCCTCATTCCCGAGTTGTCTGGAGACTTAATAGAGGGTGGATGGCGAGACCACGCAGCAGAGGGTCACTCACTTGTTAAACACACCAGGGAAATTGGAATCCATGTCCCCTCCTCCTTCCCCTCCCCCATTTCCCCCAGCAAGCCTCACCTTCGGTCCCATCAGCTCCTGGAGAGAAAGAGAAAGAGGGAGAGGTGAGCAGGAAAGACCTGACTTCCCAGACCCCCCATCAGCACCTGCCACTTCTCCAGAGGGCTGGCCTCTTCCCTAGGAGGGCCAAGGCCCCAGAAGAGGGAGGCTGACACCTAGGGAGGCTGAGGGACTCGTGAGCCCTGGGTAAGGGATGTGCCCCAGAAAAGGATTCCCAGCCGTTCCCTCCCCAAGTCCCCCGCTACGCACATACTCACCCATCCCTGACCGGAATAATCCAAGAAAGAGCAGAATGGCTACAGCCTCCAGCTGCCCAGGCCCAAGGCCCGCCCTCTGGGCCATGGCCCAGGACGAGGGCCCCCGAGGGAGACACCAGCCCACTAGGGAAGGAGCGAGGGCTAGTTTCGAGGGCAGGATCCAGATGTTGGCTCAGAGGGCAGGGATCCTGGAATCCGGCTGGAGAGGGGAGCAGCAGGTGTCCAAGGCTGTCTTCTACGGCAGGGAATGGCCAGAGGGGAAATCGCCCAGAGACTATGCAGCTAGCAGTGTGGACGCGTCTCCGGCACGGGCTGGGCACGCAGAGACCTCCCCGGAGCGGCGGCTCCTTCGGGGAAGGCACCTACCTGCCCGCCCCTCCCCTGGCCCCGCCCTCTCTGCTATGCTTAGCCAGTTCTCCTGCCACCAAAGTCACGAGTCCTTTCAGACCCCTGGGCTGTGTGAGGGGGTGGAGGGTGGGGGTTGACCAGCTCGAGAGCAGCCAGAGACAGGGCTAAAAGCCCCGGGGCCATTTCCTAGAATGCGTCCCAAGTGTCGTCCACCCCAGGTCTCTCAGGTGTCTCAGACCAGTTATGCCTCCCAGGGCTATTTTTGTTATCTTGGGGCCAGAACTACTCTTCCCTCCCTCCCTCCCACCCTAGGCTGGGTATCTAAGCCCAGGACCCCGGGGTCTGTCCCAGGCCAGGGCTGTTCCAGGCCTTTTCTGTACAGTCTACAGCCTCATCTGTCTGTGGGCGGTGAGCAGGTGCCAATCATCCCACAAATATTTACTGAGTGCCTACTATGTTCCAGGCACAGGGGACAAAACAGACACCAGCTCTGTCCTTGAGCTCATGGTGAAGTAGGGGTGCCAGACTTGACAAATAATCACAAACAAGTATAGAATAATTTCAAACTAGGAATCAGGGTGGACGGGAATGGGGGCTCAGGTGTCAGTGCACAGCAGCACGACAAAAGCTGGCATCAGGAGGGGCCCTTGAGGAAGTGCTAGAGAACTGAGACCTAAGGGGGTTATGGACAGGTGTTAACAAGGCAAAGGGGGGCACAGTGGTCCAGGGAAGCAGCTAAAGTAGAGGGCACAGGGACAGAGGTTCAGGGAACGAGGGCCCCTGTGACCCTGTGACTGGGGTGGGGGTCGGGCACATCCTCTGTGAGTAGGACTCTGTGGCAATTCAGAATATGTGTTGGGATCAAGCTTCAGGAAAAACAGACCCTCACTTCCCGACCTACTTTCCAGAAGACTCAGCAGCATCTGCACTCTGGGCCAGGACCTCAGGGCCCAGGCTGGAGGTGAGGAATTCCTGGAGTGGGCAAGGGAGGAGCTGACGTGGGAAGGGGTCTAAGCTGGGAGGAGGGTGCCATGAGGGTGGGTTTAGGTAGAGGAGGGGGCATGTTAAATGTGCCTGGGGGTGGCATAAGGGGGACTGACTGGGTATGGGGAGCAGCCGGGGGCCGAACGTCCCTGTGGAGATTCCAGAGAATGTTCTATTTGGTATCTACCAGCTAAGCATAAGCCTGGCCGTTTAAGAACCTCTGCCCTTCTCCTCAACCCCCCAGTGAGAACATCCAGCTATCCTCTAGGTCCCCCTCCCCCATGCTCTCCCTACTCAACCCAGAGTTTGGGACCCCAGCCCAGAGGGGACCCTCTGCCCCCCTCATAAGCTGGCTTCCACCCCATCACCAATCAAACATCAATTCCTCTGTGACCCTTTCCTGATCTCCAGCCCATGGTGTCCATGCGCGGTTCCCACCAGATTGGGAGATTGAGGGCTTGTATGACAGACTCCTATTGCGACTTACTAGTTAGCAGGGAACACAGATCGAATTAACGCAGGGAGGTGTGTGGTTAAGCGGCTGACGGGTGAGGTGGTGGACGTACATACAGGGGTCCAAACTCTAGGGATACTGGGCAGGGTGTGAACTTGGTAGACCTTCTGAAGGGTACAAGTGTCGTGTGTGTGCTGTGGACACTAGGGGCATACGCTTTGGGGCGTCAATCATCAGGGTATGCATATGGGGGTGGTTCTGACTCTTGCCCCCAGTCCTTCCCACTCTGGGGGAGGGGCAGCAGGGTCTGAGCTTGGGCTGAGGGCTCCGGCAGGTGCTGGGGACACTGATTCTACTGGGAAGGTGACTTACAACAGGTGGCCACCCAGCCTCCCCTGCCCTGGGGCAGGAATGAGGGAACAGCTGACACGTTATCAGCGACACATTTCCTGGGAGCCCAGGGCCTGACTCACAGAGGTCCTGGGAGGGAGGGGCCGTCCTGTGGGCTTCTCCTTAGCCCAGGATGCCCTCAGCCCCTCACCTGCCCACTGCCAGGCCACAAGGCCACGTGTCTGTGTTTACACCTTTATTGTCCGCTCCGCCCACCACCCCCAAGGATTCCTAGGCCCAAAATAGCCAGCACTGAGGCCCAATTATCTGAAGCCGCTGCAGTCTAGGTGGGTGAGGCCCTCTGGAGGCTCCGGCATGGGAGCGAGCCGGTTGGGCCACATTCCAGCCCCTCTGGGCGGTAAGTGGAGGGCGGGAGAAGAAGGGGAAGTGGCCCAGGGACCCAGGCCCTCTCAGCCCAGGATCAGGGGAGTGAGCAGCAGCAGGAACAGAGCAGCCCGAGGGGAGCCCGAGGCCCCTGCTATGTCTGGGTGGCAGAGGTTGCTGCCTTCAGGGGGCCAGTAGGGGGAGCCACCGGGGGACAGGAAGTGGGCCTCCCCCACTGTTTGGGAGATCCAGACTTCTTCAGGACCAATGGCAGCAAACAGCTCCCGGCTCCCTCGAACAGCCATGCCTGTGAGGACCCAGGAGCCTCCCTCAGTCTGGCACAGGAGGGGAGGTGCTGAGGTCACCTGCAGAGTCAGAGCCAAGGCCAAATGGCTTGGTCCATTGCCCTTCCTCCTGGTCCCCTGCACTCTCCCCGAGGGTCCAGCCACCAAGCAGTGCTAGTCTCCATCCTCAGGTGTCCTGGCCCCTGTACCTCACACCTGTCCTCCTGCCCCTCTGCATACAGGACACAGAGGGTCCCAGGGGGCAGGATGCCCTGATAGAGGCAGTGGCAGAGCCGTGGTGTCAAGATGGTGACAGCAGCAGCCACGGGGACTAGAGAGAGGAGAGAGGGTCATCCCTCCCAGAGTCTGAATACCAGTCACTCCTCACTCCCATGACCCGGGCCTCTCACCTCGGTCCTGGGGGTTCTTCCAGCCCAGCACCCAGCAGCTGGCCCCCAGGGTGACACCCCCTGGGTGGAGGCAGATGGGCAGGGCTGATGGGGAGGGCTCCACCCGTGAGCTCAGCTCCAGGAGGGCCAGGGGGGGACTAAGTCCCAGGTGTCGGGGCAGGCGGATGCTGATGACCAACCGGGATAACTGGTGGCCCTGTGGGAGGGGGCTGGTCCCCGCCCGGCCCAGATACACTTCAATGTAAGGCACTGTTGTAGAACCCAGCCTGTTGGAAGAAGGCCCAATATCACCCCCTGCTCTTCCCATTGCTGGAAAGTCCTTCCCAGCCCAGGGGAAAGGGTGGGAGGAATCTCTAGGGTCACGCCAATATTGCCTTCATTATTCCTTCTTCCAGATCTCTCTTCTGTCTCAAAACATCTCACAGCAGTTCCCCTGTGCTATAAGAGCCCCAAAGAGAGAATATCCCACTATAGTAAGAGTCCTTTGGCTCAGGTCCCAATTTTTCCCTCCAGGTTCTTGCCTAGGAGATGAGTGAGACCCACCTGAGGACACAGTGAGTGGCTGCCAGGACCCAACCCGGGGCCACGAGGATCCCAGTGCAGACTCGACCACCAGCCACATGCACCTCTGCCAGCCAGGGCCACAGGACTCCCATCTGAGCAGCCTCTGGCCGCAGGCCACAGGCTGGGGAGAGGAGATGGCCACCTCTGTGGGGGCCTCTCAGCTTGCCCCTGAAATGCATCTAAGCACCCCCAGGAGCCTCTAAGCCCCAAAGATCCCCCACTCACCACCATGCTCTGTGTGGGGGGGACATGTCTGTGTCTCAGTCTCTTCCCCCTCAGGGCCCCAGTCCCAAGCTAGCTGGTCCTCCAGGTAGGCTCCCCGAGTCACATGGCTGATCCACGGGCCATGGGTCTGCAGAGGGGAGAAGGCTCGGGGACGCAGACAGCCAGTGGAGAAGCCCCTGACTCCAGCCAGGAACCAGGTCCCCTCCTCCTGGCACAGAAGGCTCCAACGCGAGTCATTCTACAGCAAGAGAGTGTGTGTGTCCAATTCTAATTTGCGTAAGAATCCAGTCCTTAAATCTACGGATAGAGAGAAGACCCAACACCCGCTCAGGGGCTCTCTCAGCCCCCTCCCCAAAGTCCTCCAGGGACAGGCTCCGCCCCCAGCCTGTTCTGGCCCCGCCTCCACTACGTCTCCGCCACCAAGAGTGCTCCGACTGGTTCCCGGTTCCTCAGACCCCGCCCCCAGCCCCCTCGGCCCCTCCCGAGTCCCACTCAGCCCCGCTCCCGCAGGCCCCGCCCCCGCCACTCACCCAGCAGCGGCCCGCCTCCTCCTCCTCCAGGTAGACCGGGCAGAGAGCGT